TCCAGGATCCCAGCCCCTGTATTTGTGCGTTCCAGGGTCAGGCCTTCGGGGTAAATCTTCGTTACTGCATCAAGCAGCACCTCCACCTTCGTTCGGCTCTTTGGATCGTTTCTCTTAAAAAAAAACAGAATCAACAAGTCATCAATGTATCTCTTCCCAGAGATTAGTCCAGCATCCCCCCCAAGTCATCAATGTAAGAGACTCTAATTGTTTATTGAAAAGAAAAAAGTATCATTAACTTTCTTTTTATACTCTCTTAATGCAAAAATTTAATATCAATATACTATCTTCCTCTCTAAATATAAAAGAGAATCAAATAAAAGAGAGTCAAAATCATTCATCATTGACTTTTTGAACATGCTTCCCAATTAAAAAAATTCAATGGGATAGCCGTATCAATTTTGGTCCATTCATGGAATATTAGTCGGTAGTCCCTTACCGTGTCTATTCTCCCTTGGCTCTCCCCTGATTCCTTTCGTTCCCCTTTCCATTCCACCATTCCTAACCTCCCTCCGCCTGTCCCCCGAAGCCAGTTGGAGCTAAATTCCTGAATTTTTTGTTTAATGTCCTTTTGCATGCCTAAGAATCAGATCTGTGTTTTGACGCCTTCCCATTTTGCGGTTATTTCTATTTGGATCTGTTGTTGTACACTTTCCATGAATTCGGGTCCTTCTAGTCTCGCCCCTTCCATCTCAAAAGCGTACCGTCGTCTCTAGAGTGCCCAGAGCACCGCCCTTCGTCCCAATTTGAACATCTTGCCGGTAAATTCGTCGAGCTGGTTTATCTAACCCTTGGGCCAGGCTTCGCACAGCAAGGACTTTCAGTCCCAGGGCCACAGGAAGTTTGTTCCTAGTTGATCTCAAACTCTATCCCACCATCTCCTCCGCCAAAGTGCTCCTGGGCAATGTAGGAATATGTGTTCAATCGTTTCAGGCCGTTTCCTAGACGGGAACGCATTTGTGCAAAACTTGCGCCATGGGAGAGCACGCTCTCTTTGTTCCAGGGATGTTCTATCAATCAGTCAGTTATTGGTTGGTAGGCAGCGGTGCTCAAACTGCCATTGGAGTGAGGCCAATTTAGCCGGTTTTGCCTTAGCCATCCTAAGCCATCTTATTGGTCTCAACTCCTCTTTGCTGACGTTCAGGTGGCTCCTCAAATGCTCCTCCACCTAGTCTCGAAGATTGTTTTGGGTCTTAGGAGCCTGTAAGTTGATTTGGCTGTTAGGTCATATAGTGATTTGGTGTGTTTCCTGCCCTTCCCCATTTGGGTCGTCCATGACCATTCCAACGAGTCCAGGGCTAAGTGATGGACCGTGGTGTTGGGGAAGTAGGCTATCCATTGCCCTTTTTAAAGGAGCACTCTAATTCTGAACAATTCCTCTTTTTGGCATATTATCGTTTCTTCCGGAGTGCTCCTTTGGATAACGTTGTCCCACCCTACTTGGAAGAGACTCACTACTATTGTTCCTTTCGGGATGCAACAGACTACACTGCCCACTTCTCCTTGTCGCTCCCGGAATGCCACCCAATCAGACTCTTGCAGGGTAGGGTCTTTGCCAAGGATTCTCCACCAGGCTAGGGGGATCTTTTCTATCATTGCCTCCAGGGCTTCGTAAGGCCGGTGGCAGTACCGCAGTCTCTCCCGTAGTTGGCCATGACCTATCTAGACTTTCTTGTTTCTGTCCCATATGTCCTTTATCCTTGTTACCCCTCGCTTGACCCAACCCCGCCATGGGGAGTCCATACCATGGAGCATCTGGTCCTTAGAGTCCACCACCCATTTGTTACCAAAAAGAGGTTGGCGTGCCACCTCCTCTCATCTTTCATGCGAGGTTTTATCCGGTAGAGGGAGACTTCTTGATGTTTTGAGGAGGGTGGGCCAGAAGGGATCCTTCCGTAAATCAGCCCTTGTTGCTTGTCTGGGAGAGTCGGGCGGGGGTCCGGTTGTTGCGACCTTAATCTTGGGATGGGCCATCCCTTGTTTTCCAACCACATTAGCGGATCGCTCCCTTCTGGTGTTTGTGGTGCTAATCGGGAAATTTGTTCTAGGGCTAACCCTCTCCAGGGGGATTCAGGATTGAACAACAGACGTTCGAGCCACTGTATTGCCATTGCTTTAGTTTGTGTTAAGGTGTCAATGATGCCCATACCTTCTTTTAATTTGGGCTGGACTATGGAATGACATGTCACTCTATTGATGGCATTTTGTTTTTCGTGGTCGCCCCGCCACCAAAGGGCAGTTATCTGACATTGCAGAGGGCGTAAGGCATTCTTGTCTAATGCCTAGATTGCTGATTTGTACCACAACGAGGCCAACACCACATTATTGAATATTAGGGAGCATCCAAATAGTGAGGTGTGTTTGTCCTTCTAGAGTGTCATTTTTGCC